TATCGATAACAAAACATCGACGTTACCACACGGAAAATTAAAACATTGGTATTAGTAATACATTGACCAATAACCATCGATGTTTTTAGAAGTGGGATAATAACCTCTAATATTTACGTTCGCGCGGAAGATAATTAATTTGACAGTGGGCGTGTTTATTAATTTAGAATTAAGATTTAACTGAAAAAAATAATAGAAGAAAATAACACAATTTGAGCCTGAAAGCCTTAGAGTTTATAACCATCTCTAGGGGGTCAGAACGTCCTCAGTACACTAGTCAGATCTTCCTAAAAGTGACAGAAAAAAGAGGAGATCCCACCTCAACGGTAAATATGTTGACCGCTCCATATAAATACTAAGGGAAGCGTAGGTAATACCAAAAGTTTGTCAGTTTTCTTTCCGAAACGAAATGTTCTTCTTAATGAAGATAAAAGAGAGAGCATTCGCTTTGATCGAACTCACGACCTTTTATAACATCGGTTAATATTTTTGTTTTAACTTGTACAAAATTGTGATTATTGTAATTATGGACACTTTTCATTAACAAAGAAAATATTTAAAAGCGTAAAAATATTGATAAACGAATATTTATGTCAAAAATCGGAAATTGACCTCATGTGACAGCCTTTGGCGCTTTCGTAAAACACGTTTTTATATTTGTTTATTCTGTGTAGCCGAGAACAAATAAGGATTAATAAGATGAAAATATGCATGTATTATTATATTTCTTTACATAATAAAGAACGTATTAACTTAGAGCGACTCTCAAAACTGCTAACTGTGGTTATAACAAAGTTTTTGCCCGCACCCCTACCGGTTTGCGGCGAAGGCAACGCGCTCACTCGGCGGCCAACAGGTGATTCGAAGGGCCCGCGGCCGGGCGTGTCGGGGCGGCGACCGCCGCGCCCCCTGCCCGCCCTTGCCTGGCCGCCCGCCCGCGGCACTCGCCTCCTGCCCGGCGGCATGTGCGCCTGGCTGCTGCTGTTGATCCCGGCGGCGGGGCTGCTGGTGCACGCGACGCTATGGCTGTGCCGCACGCTGGCGGAAATCGCAGTGTTCCTCGTGTGGGCTGGGGCGTTGGTAGCTCTGGGGACGGCGGCGGCGCTGGTGGCGACGGCGACGCTGTGGGCGGCGGCGCAGGCGGGCTTCCCGCCGGTGGTGCCGCTGCTGGTGCGGCCGCTGCTGCGGCGGGGGGGCCTGCGTCGCTGCGCCCGCCTCTGACCCCCGACCTGGCTGTGACGAACGGGGAATTGGTTGCAGTGCCCGCCGAGGCCACGGCGTTCCTGGGGGCCGTGGCCGCGTTCGTGGTGCTGCTGCTGGTCTTCTTCCTGTACCTGAACAAGAAATGGTGCTTCTACGGCGTGGGCGGCTTCCCGTGCTGCGACGAGCCGCTCGGCCGGGCCGCACGCGCCGCGCGATCCAAACACCTCGGTGAGTAGTCAGCCGGCGCCGCGACGCGCCGCTCCGCGGAGAGAACTCGAAGCCACAGTGGGACATTGCGGGACATTTCTTGAAATGCTTGGGCTGTATTACTGAACTCGCTGTGTGAAACTTATTGGAAGATTACTCTATCGATTTCTATATTAATTACCTGTGTAAATGTAATTACCTGTGTTACATTTTAATTAATTTAACCCGGATTTTGGTCGATTTAATCCGGATTTTGGTCGATTTAATCCGGATTTTGGTCGATTTAATCCGGATTTTGGTCAAATAGAGACAAAAAAGCTGAATATTGGTACTTAAACTGAATAATTGCCATTAGATATTATTCTATTCTCTGAGTATTTGAGACATTTCCTTTCATAAAAAGTATCAGTTCATATCATCTTATTGTAATGTCAGTATATATGAGTTTTCATCTTTTTGATATATAAAAAGGAAAACTCAATAAATTATATTCTATCACCATTTTGCCACTAGATGGCATAAGCTCCTTATTTTGCAAATTTTGAGCAAGTAAACAATCGGGAAGGCTGCAATTGTTGTTTCTCAAATGTTGTGGGTAAATTGGGTACTCCCGAGGTAGTGGCTACTAACGGTGTCTTTATTTCATATGAGCGAGTTTGCTTGAGATCCGGATCTTTTTAACCCTTCTCCATTACCATATTTAGTTGAACAGCGAATTAAATATTGCAGTGAATGTTGTTTTTGGATAAGCCATTTGTGCTCTCGTATAATAGTAACGTGCATCCAAAAAGGTTTTATACATTTGATTTGATAGTACTAGCGTAAAAATTATCAAACCTTCCACTCTCTGTTTCTCTCCGGAAAAGTGAAAGCTCAAGGAAACTCGTGCAAAAAACAAGTAAGAGAAAGATAATGAATATAGTGACAGTAACATCGTTCACAAACCGTTGTTTTGTATTCATTCTTTCCTCGATATGGCTGTGTTATTCGTTTTTAATGTGTCATATCTGAGTGTAGCTGACAACTTTTACTGTGAATGTAAGAAAATACTGCTGACCAGCCTCAGGTTCAATCAGGTTTTTAACGAATGTAAATGATTCATGATGAATTCATATATTACTGGAAATTTGGAATTCTCACAAATACGCAATGGAGCATTTCGGTGTCCACATAGCTTTGAAAAAAATAATAAAACTCGTGACAAATATTACAGATGTTACTTTTTGGAATACTTTCAAATAATTTGTTTTGGTATTTTGTCTTAAAGTTGTTGTTCCCTGCGTACTTGCTAATAAATTAGAAAAAATAAAGTCTTTAAGAAAGAAAACATTGTTTTCACTAATAAAAGATACTTCCATTTAACGAGACCTTATATTTGATTTATTACCATATTTTATCGTTTTTTATTTTATTATAAACAAATTATAGTTGATCGGATTCAACATAAAACATATCTTTCACACACTCACGTTGTAAAAATTCTGATATCGCATATTTGCGTATTCAATAATGAAGAAAGTGAGGCTTGTAGAAAGTGCTTAACCTTTGAATTGCTTCGTCAGACTGAAGTTCCTCGCTCAATCTATTTTTGAAAGATTTCGGATGGGTATGTGGACTGGTACAAGAGTAAACAATAATAATAATAATAATGATAATAATAGTAATAGTAATAATAGTAATAGTAATAATAATAATAGTAACAGTAATAATAGTAACAATAATAATAATAATAATAATAATAATAATAATAATAATAATAGTGATAGTGATAGTGATAGTAATAGTAATATAGAAACGAGGTAATCTTGGAACCTGCGACTGTCATGCACGGCTACCGCCGTTCAGGGCAAACGACCTGGCATTCGTGGATCGATTTGCCGCAGGGGGCCGGGACTTGCCATTTTTTGTTTCCTTGTAATGTAGTTTTAGAAGTTCAATTAATAAAAACAAAAATACTCTTACATTGATTTTGATAGATGCCCTCCAAACAAGTAAAACATATAGGACATTGAAATAACTATTAGGTTGACGAATATTAATAAGCAAAACATTCACGACTCTTCTTTCATAATTAAGCTTCTCTTTGAAAGCAAAATGAAATGTATCCAAAATACACATTTCGAAATTTTGAATTGCATTTTCAATAATTTTGAATTGCATTTTCATCAGCAGTCGATCATGAGTCTACAGTTGTACATCAATACATTTGCAAAATTTAAACCAATGTGGTTCTCATAAGATATTTTCATCAATTTACCACTTCAATCCATTTTACTTCAATAATTCAAAACCATAGTCTTTGTAATCATTTTTAGTTTACATGAACCCTTGGTGAGCAAAGGTAATTATTAAAGGTAAACACAATTCAACGTAGTTTTTTACAGAATAAAGTGTTTCCATTTGTTGACATACTATGTTATTCATCGTCCATGAACGTTCTGTATAAGTTGATAAGTGGAAAAATACACGAGTAACGCAGAGTTCCTCAAACGGTCGGGAAATACACACATTGAACTCGTAAATGAATCACGGTTGTTACAAAAATAAGATAACAAGCGTGGTTATACATCATATTATATCATTAAAATACATTTTTAAAGTATAAAATTGAAACATTTAATTCATACTTTCACACTACACTATTAAGAGAAAGTAACTTCTTATAAGAGTCCTAACTATATATGAAGTTCAACTTCATCGGGGATTAATGATAAATAAACTTGTAGAAACTTTAACAGGTTTACCTAGCCTCATCATAATGTTTCTAGTGACATGTAGATTAAATTAAAAAGAATGTTTCTACTTATTTTTTTAGGTTAATGAGAATAATAATTTTAGATCTACAATTCAATTTTAAATTTCTTTTTTATCTACTTCGAATAAAGTAGCCTGGTTGTTTATATATTTATCATTCTTAATGCATTATGCTAAGAAAGTTGTCAAAAAGAATTAAATGAAGATGTTGCTGCCTTGTTGAAACTGCAACCTTTTAATAAACAGTGCAATAGTAACCGATGAATAATTCAGAAAATATCGTTAGATATTAGATATAAGGATTTACACATAATTTCTAGGAGAATTCACGGAAATATAATTACAAAAAATTAACAACTAAAAATAATTTCGGAGGTTGATTCATTGCTTTTCAACAATTAAGAGGAATGTGAAAAGTAAAAAAGGGAAAGTCATTTAGCAATTGAAAAATCATGAACTGTAATTTAACACTTCACTACATGAATGACCAGATAGAACAATTCGATTCGAAAGGAAGTAGTTTCTGAACTAAAGTTTTAAAAAGACGCAAAACGGACGGAACGCCGGCAAGATTCGACAGAACCACAACGAGGATGAGGGAAGGAGACGAGGAGAGAAACAAAAGGGAAGAGGAGTATCGACGCCCAGTGCAGATCGCAGCTGTGCACATAACCCTCGCCCGCAACATGCGCCACTCTCGCGCCACCCCTCCCATGCCCATGCCCATGCCCATGCCCATGCCCATGCCCATGCCCATGCCCATGCCCATGCCCATCCCCATCCCCATCCCCATCCCCATCTCCCGAGGTCTCGTCTCTCCTTCATGAATGCGGCGACCTCGCATCCGGCACTTTCGCTTCCGATGTCCCTCCCCCCTTGCAGGAATTTGTGTCACTCCCCCTCACCCTACTCTACCTTCGAGCAACCGCTTTCTCCATTTTGCCGTCGAGATTTTTGTCTTGTACACTACTTTACTATTTAGTTGTACTTTGCGTCTTTTCATCTATTACCTTTCACGTACCCAAACCTGCAAAATGTTCTGTTTACAATAATCCTTTTTAGTCCTGTTGTTGCTCATCCAGAATGTCCTTCTGCGCATTCTTATTCGATTTTGTTAGTCTACTGTGATTTTTCACCATATCTTACGACGGGATAGGCTCTTGCAACACCATCGTTGATGCTTCATTATTTCAAGTTTCTCTTTCCTCGTTCATTTCACCACTAACACACATCCAACCTTGCACCCACCGTTGCCCGCTCCGCCGCCCTTCCGACCGCCAAAGGACGCATTTCACGGCCCAGTGGCTGGCGCCAGTCGCCGCCCCCACTCCCGGCTCGACCACATCACCACTCGCCCGCACGCTCTTCCATTTTTCGTATCGCTAGCCCCTCCCCCCTCCCCCTCACCGTTTGTCCGCTCTTCCTCGGCCTCCCGTTCGCAACCCCTGGCGCGATCTGTCCACACCTAGCGTGTGTGTCAATTCCCTGCGTCAGTGTACACACAAGGGGCGCAGCCTGCCGACCTCGCCCACGCCTTCTCCCCCGCCACGCCGCTCTCGGCCCCCGCCCACGCCGCCCGTCCACGCGCTCCCCCAACGCCGCTTCCCCGCCACGCCCACGCGCTCCGCGCCCACGCCCACGCTCGCTCCCCATCACATCAGTTCCACGACGATGTTGTCCCTCACAGCCAGCCCTTCCACCTCTTCCACATCAAATCGCGCTGTATTCTACCTTCCTACCCCTATGCTTACTCTGTCCCAGCACGCCGTCGTAGCATGCCCATGCCGCCTGCACCACGGCCACGTCATGTTACGCCACCGCCAAAGCCGCGTCGCCCGCCCGACCCCCCGGTGACCCCGCAGCGGGGTTCTGGGCGAAGCGCGAGGGCGAGAACGGCAGCGACCGGGCTAATTTATCGCGTCGAGGGCGGCGCGCCGCTGCCACCGCACCACTGGCGGCGTCGGGCGGCGGGCGTTCGTTTTTTGACCGCAAGAGCCCCAGCGGCCTCCCCCCCCCTGACGCCGGTCGCCCGCTGCGCAGGCCGCCTACTCGTACCGGGGAGCGGACTCGAGCTGGACAAGCGCAGGAGGAGGTGCTGCGCCGCCTGCAGCAAGTCGGCGGTCGCTGGCCTGAGCTCTGCGCACAGCTGCGCGACCCGCCCAGCCCGGCCCCGGCCCTGGCCCCGGCCCCTGGCACCTGCGCGGCACCAGCCGTGGAGTATGCGCCTGCCCCGAGCCCACGGACCCCCACCCCCCTTAGGCCAAGCGCGCCACCG